CGAAGTTGCAGTGGTAGTAGGGGTCAGCCTCCTGCTCTTTTGAAATATCCCAACCCGTCACGATGTTGTACGTGGCGTACACATCTACTCCTGTGTAGTCGATGAGCTTGTCTGGCAGCAAGCTGACCCCCCACAGTTTGTGGTCTTCCTCCATGTCGATCTTCTTCTTCATGTCTTTGTAGAATGGGTGGATGGCGCTGCCTGCAACATCGGCCAAGGAGTCGTAGAATTTTTTTTGGTTGGAACTTTCCACTTGCGCTGCATGTCGATGAAATTGTTGGGGTTGATCTCCAAACCAGACTTGTTCAGCATCCACTTATCACCTCCAATGCTAAAACCGGCAAATGTGTACAATTTCTCCTCCTGCAGGAACTCTTTGAGGCGCTTGGGCATGCAAGGGGGGAGACACATATTGAAGATTAGTGTTCTTTTTTGAAGATTTAATTCTCCCGCTATTTGGTTTACAAGTGATAATCCATGAAGTAGATGCTTATATAGTACAACTCATGGATGAATGTAGTTCAGAAACTAGTACACAAAGTCCTAAAATTAAATTCAACTACACCATGTTATTTTTCTTTTTTGGTATCTTCAATGCTTCACCAAATGCTTCACCAAGTTCAAGAACCTATTTTTACCAGAGACAATGATATATGTGCTACTTACTTCAAGTTTATTTTCTTCTTTGTTGAATAAAAGACCTATACTAGTTCTTGATACACCTTTGTGCATCAATTCTATATCAAGTTCAGAAATTAATTTGAGAAACATGTGCATCAAGATATGGACCAATAACACTTCACCAAACATCTTTTAATACATCGATTCTATAAACTATACTAGTGCATCAAGATCAGAATCTATGCTAGTACATCAAGTTCAGAAATTAATTTGGTGAAACATTTTTCAGATGCTAATCCAGTGCATCAGTTTTTAGATGACTAATCTGGTGAAACAATCCACTTCACAATTTCAGAAATGCATGTAACTTGAGAAACATGTACTTGTACACCCACTTCACAAACTATAGTAGTTCATCTAGTTGGGAAACAAGTTTAATGATTTTTTTGGGAGTAGTACTAGTACAACAGATGAATGAACATTAGTTTTGGGTTACCATTTTGTGGCCGCTGCGATGTGGTACACCAAGTAGAGTTCCTCGACACACAATTGCAGGACTGCTGCCATCTGGGGATGTTCATCATCGCTGGTGTACTCCACATCAACTCTGATGAAGCTCAGATACAAGCCGCCGCCCTTCATCCTGAGCCTGCTCATCACCTCGTCGGCCTTGTCTGGTTCGCTGGTGTAGACGATCTCTAGCGTCTCCTTGCCGTGGAGCTCAACCCCTGTGAGGGTTCTGGTGTATGCGCGCTTCTCGCCGGGTACGTGAACGTCGTCGAGGTTGCAACTCTTATCGGACCTCTCACCATGATGAAGCTTGGCGGATGGTTCCTCCGCCATCGCCCTCCTCCGGCGACTATGGGCTTGGGAGAGAGAAGTTTCTGGGTTGTTTGTGGTGGAGACGGAAGCGACAATGGTGGTTCTGAGAATGAGGCAGAGATGGAAGACAATGGGGTATTTTGCATCGTGTCCACAGGGATGTGTGGGAGGCGGTTCATCGGGGACGTGGGTGTAGTGGTCGTGGGGGTCCCCATTTGCAGTCCCTTGTGGCAACCGCCCAGTGGGTGGCACGAGTGGTGGCCTGGAAGAACTAACCGTCCAAGCCAAGGGTTTTTACTGTCGCATTGAGTAGTCTTGTCAAGCTGTACTTACCAGCTGGTTATCCCACTTGCACGTCTTAGGGGTGGTGATGATGGCATTTTTCACTGTTTAAGTGACGTATGCTTTGTGATGTTTTTCCGTGTTGATGTTAAGTATTGTTCTTCCACTGAAGTCTTATACACTAGTTGATCTCAAAACATTTTTCAGTGCCCTGGGAGTTGTTGCTCAAAATTGGGACTTATTTTATTTTTCATCTGTCCCAACCTAAGTTATGCCTTTTATAGTTTTTGTATTCTCATTTTTAGTGCACTTATGGTTTAATGATGTGTGAACTGAATTGTAATTTCATACAGCGGACGGTTTTGAAATTTGGTGTCACAGTGGTGTGAGTGGCCTGACTATTCCTGCTTTTTAGTACTGATGTCATATGTATGTTTGAGCTAAGTTTTTTTGGGGGGGGGGGGTGGATTGATATTATTTACGACGAAATCGCTCGTTGAGGTGTGGGTAGATTTTACATAAATAAGAAATTTAGCAAAATTGACAAAGAAAATCTATTTGAACTTCTTGCATTTTTAGTAGTTGAAGTAGTCAGATTTTATATAAATAATAAATTTAGCATAATTGACAAAGAAAATCTATTTGAACTTCTTGCATTTTAGTAGTTGAACTTTTTAGATTTTATATAAATAAGAAATTTAGCATAATTGACAAACATTATCTATTTTAACTCCTTGCATCTTAGTAGTTGAACTTGAAGTTAATATTTTAATTCGGTGTTTTAAATTATGTACATTTAACAGATAGGCTATTAAGTTCTCTGCTTTTTAGAGTTTCATTGTTTTTGTATCATATTTTTTTCCTTTTTTAGCATCCGTGGTGCAGAGCTAAAATTATTTTTATTTTTTGTATTTAAAGTTATTGCCTGCAAACTAGTATTTGAACTTTTATATTTTCAGTTTCAAACATTTTTCTTGTAGTTTATATTTCTTTGCCCCGCGCTCTGGTTTGTTTAAGTGGGCTTATTGGTGGGGTGTTCGTAGACGATGGAGGCTATTGGGCCGTTTTCCAGCCCAAATGGCCCGCGCGGATGTTTTGGACACTGTTGGATGTGCGTGTGCTCTGGGTTTAGTCCCACCTCACTAAGGGAGGAGGATTTCGACCTGTTTATAAGCGCAACCGAGTCCTACTGGTCGAACTCCTCTAAATACTTACCTGAGTGCTTATACACGGCGCTCGCTCTCTCATGACCTGTGGGCCCTGGTCGGCTGGCCTTGCGTTGTGCGGATTACTAGGGATTCGCCCATGGGCTCGAGTTCAAGTATCTAGCAGCGTCAGGGTCTGCGCCTGTCCTTGGGCGGCCAATTTTTACTTTTTTTGTTTGTTTGAATCTAGTACTTGACTCCACTAGTAACTTAGACTGATACTTTTTGTTCTAGTTTTGTGGAAGTGTTATTTTTTCATTTGAAGTTTTTTGCCTTGTTTTTGTGCTTGTTTTTGCGATTATTCTCAAGGGTCTTCTCGTGTCATTTTCATCACTATGGTACTTGCGCGTAGACTAAGTTGTACTGATAGTCCATTCATAGTAGCACTTATGTTCTGAGTCTGACATCTGGGGTGGGGGATTACGGACTGATGCTTCTTTGTACTTTTCATTGTAGTAAGTATGTACTGTCCGATCAAGTGTACTAGTACTTTCATTCTTAGTCTGCAAGAGACCAACATAAGTGTGTGCTGATCCTTCTTAACCTTTTCTGTTTGTAGTACTTGTTAATTTTCTAGCAGCTACATATGAATGAGAACAGTACATGAAGTACTAAGAATTTTTGCTTCAACTTTTGAAGCGTTGTTAAGCAACTCAAATTGTGCCGATTGTTTTCAATGTTATGTTTTCTATACAATACTGAATCGAAACCACACATGGAACAACGTTGTTTGATTAGTTGCTTCATAACTAGTACTTTAGAGCAGACACAAAGTTCCATTCAGAAGCTACTTTGAATTTGAATTGATGGATTAACAAAATATGAAGCTACCAATCTTATATAATGAGATAAGCAAAACAATGTACTTGATGACATAAATAAACTTTTTCAACCATGACAAGCATGACATAATCATACTGGTTCAACCCAACAAGAGCAAACTACTAATTTGAAACAAGATAAAAGGCAAGCACAAGCGGAAGGAAAACGAAGGCAGAATTTGATGTATCTTCATCCCTAAAAGGGGTGAAAGGGGCGGTCATAGTAGTTTTCTGCCTCCCGCGCTTTTGCAATTTCCCAACCATTTGTGATGTTGTCGATGATGTTCCATGACTTGTACATAGCATACACATCTACTCCTGCGTACTCGGTGAGGTTGTCTGGCAGCGGGCTGATCCTCCACAATTTGTGGTCTTCCTGCGTGTCGATGTTCTTCTTCATGCCTTTGTAGAATGGGTGGATGACGCTGGCTGCAACATCAGTCAAGGAGTCGTACTCTTTTCTGGTGCATGGAACTCTCTAGATGCGCTGAATGTCGACGTACTTGTTGGTGTTGATCGTCAGAAGGCTAGACATCTTCATCTTCTCTTTGTCACTTTCAATGCTGAAACCGGCAAATGTGAACAACCTCTATTGCTTCAGCATCTTGTTGAGGCTCTTGGGTGTGCAAGGGGAGAGACATTTTGAAGATTAGCATTACTTTGATGTTTGAATTCTTCATTTTTGTTTTGTTTTACAAGAGATGAATCCATGAAGTAGATGCTTATATAGCATAACTAATGGATGAATGTACTTCAGAAATTAGTAAACAAAGTTCTGAAATTAAATTCAAGTACATCATAGTTTGAGCCAATGTTGTATGTGCTGCTTTAGTACTAGTTTATTTGCTTTTGTTGAATAGGACAACACATACCAGTGCTTCAGCAAGTTCTTAGTTTTTTTGCTTATGAAAAAAACATTAGACCAAATTCAGAATCTACTTCACTACATCAAGTTCAGAAACATCTTTTTAATACATTGAGTACATAAACTACACTATTGGATCAAGATCAGATACTTCACTAGTACATCAACTTCAGAAATTAATCTTCTGCAAGATTTTTCAAATATTAATCTAGTGCATCAGGTTCAAAAATACATTTATAGTGTATCTACTTGAGAAAATGCAGTAGTGCATCTACTTTCACAAACCACACTAGTACATCTAGTTGGGAAACAAGTTTGATGAACTTTTCAGGATAGAGTACTAATTAAACAGATGAACCAAATAGGGAAAATGAGTAGGATGGGTCACCATTTCGTGGCCGCTGTGATGTGGTACACCAGGCATAGTTCCTCCACGCACAACTGCAAGACTGCTATCATCTTGGTAGGTTCGTCTTCCTTGGTGTAGTGCACACCAAGGCTGATGATCTTATGATGCGAGCCACCAGCTTTCCTCCAGAGCCTGGAGATCATCTCGTCGGCCTTGTCTGGTTCGCTGGTGCAGATGATCTCCAGTGTCTTCTTGCCGTGGAGCTCAAGCCCTGTGAGGGTTTTGGTGTACTCGCACTTCTCGCCGGGGACGTGAACGTTGACGAGGTTGCTGCTCTTGGTCGACGTCTCGCCATGATGACGCTTGGCGGACGGTTCCTCCACCATCGCACTCCTCCGCCGACTGTGGGCTTGGGAGAGAGAAGTTTCTGGGTTGTGTGTAGTGGAGATGGAAGTGGCAATGGTGGTTTTCTAGGAATGAGGCAAAGATGGAAGAGAATGGGGTATTTTGCAGTGTGTCGACGGGGATGTGTGGGAGGCGGTTCATCAGGGCGTGGGTGTAGTTGCGTGGGGTCGCCGTTTGCAGTCCCTTGTGGCAACCGCCCATTGGGTGGCGTGGGCAGTGGCCTGGAAGAACCAACCGTCCAAGCCAATTTGTTTGCCAGGGTATTAATCTGGTCGCACTGAGTAGTCTTGTCAAGCTGTACTTACCAGCTGCTTATCCCACTTGCTCATCTCAGGGTCGGTGATGATGGCATTTTACTGTCGCACTGATCTGTCTTGTCAAGCTGTACTTATCAGTTGCTTATCCCACTTTGCACGTGTTAGGGTTGGTGATGATAGAGGTTTGTACTCCTCTACTGTGGGTACTTGCACTGGTGATTGAAGTGTAATTGGACTTACCAAATACCAGGCAGACTATGCGTGTCATGCTAATGTTTTTTAAAACAATTTTTGTTTTTTGAAAGGACTGTTTATATTAAGATAATCTTTGAAAATATTTTTTGCAGATAAATTAGTTTTTCATCAGTACATGTATATTATATTTGCATTTGCTTGAGATAATTATTTTTATGTACTAATAGACTTTCTGAACTAGGACTGGCAAAAGCAGACACAGGTTGTTTCTGAAACGATGTTTTTTGAGGTGTTCACGGGTGTGTTTGGTTACAATGCCTTTGTACTGACGAGTGAGAATTATCAGTACTGATGTACTATAAGAGTTTAAATTTTCCATAACATATTTTTGCTGAGTTACTGGTCAAGAGTAGTGTTGGCGTTACATAAATCTAGATAAGTTTTTTGAAATGTATTTGTGACTGCATTCAAAAGGATTATCAAATGGTTTACATAATAATGTCACTAGTCCAGCGGGCACAAATCACAAATTATATCTTAACTATAGTACTCATCGAGAAATCGATGATAAAGCTAAATAAGTTTTGGTAATGACAATGTTTCTGATATGTTTCCTCATTGTGCGTACCGAGGCAACTGAGAGTACAGGATTATTTTTCAGTTAATGCAGCAGCATAACAACTATGGATTCTTCAGTCTTGAGCTCCTCCTAACTGGCCCCGAATGTTGTCCCTTGCCGGCACCCTTTACTGCTTGAGCCTTCATAGCTTCATCGTCAGTTTCAGTTTCCTCGTCCCCAACACTGTCATCTTCATTGTCTTCGTCTGGTTGGTCGCCATTCTCGTCAAACTCTTCTTCTTCATCCTCTTCTTTTGATTTTTTGGAACTCTGGACCTTGCCCTATTTCTGTTCAGCACCACTAACCTCCTTGCCCACTTTGCACGTGCGGGCATTATGTTCGTCAGTTCCCCCACACTTGCGGCAAGTGTAGCTGTTACGTGTGTCATCTCCATTGGTAGAAACCTGGACGGCTCTAATCTTCTTCTGCAGCGTTTGCTTGTTGACAGTGGCATCTGTGCGCAGTGGGCATGTGCGGTAATTATGGTTGGTCACAACATTGCAGAATCCGCATGCCCTTATCCCGAGAGGTTTGCCGTCTGGGCAAAATTCCACGCGCCTGATGGGGTGTGGCGGCTTTTTGGCTGCTGCTTTTGCTACTTTCGCTGCTTGCTTCTTACTCTTCCTCCCCTTTGTGTTTGAGAATATGGGTGGTTTAATCACCCTTTCCTGCTGCTGCTGGTAGGATGTCCTGTTGTCATGTCGTTCGCCTACAGCACCATCAAGCTCATGATCTTGCATGTGAGCATGTTGGTGCTCTTGAGTGTGCACATGGGCAAGCTCTGGTTGCTGTTGCTCATCTTCCTCGTTGTCGAATGGGTCAATAGCTCCCAGATGGTTCATCTCGGTTAACATTGTAGCAATATCCTGCTCAATGGCTTCATTGTCCGCGACACCTCCGTTTTCAGCAAAATGCATGGCGTCAAGTTCTTGTTCAATTTTGTCCATGATGACCCGTGACCTCGCCATTTGCTCTTGGCTTCTCAAGCCTTTTCTGTGCACCCTCATGTTCAGCATCAGCAGTGAGCTTTCAATGTAGTATTGGGATGCCTTGTTTGACGCTACTGTCCTCAAGTCATTTTTGTTAAATGTTGGCTGGATGTTTAGGCGTTTGGTCTATCTCCTGAGGATGTATTTCTCTGGAACGCTGGCAGCCTTAATTATCTACATCATGCACAGGACATGCACACAGAAAATACCTGTATTTTTTTGAAAAGGTGCATGTTTTTTGTCATTTCATTCGAACAAAAACTTTGCAAAAAAGTAGTACAATATGTATCTTTTTTTAGTCCTCACATGTGTGGTCCCATAATTTGCACTCACACTCATATGTTTCTCCCACGGGGTCTGCGACCACCTGGAATGCGTGCTAAGCCCACACAGACAGTTTTTGCGGGTTGTTGTAGCGCACGAGGTACTTTGTGGGCTCTTCCGTCTCTATCGCCGTGAAGAGTGTGCTCAGTTTTAGCCTTTTTCTGATCTCGCCATACACAACTCGTGAGTAAAGCTTTGCCATCTGGGTGTCAAACCCATAGAGGGTCAGCGTGTTTTGTTCCTTCTGCCCATGCAAGAATGATGACCAAATTATTAGTTTTCTCGCAACAAAAACTTGTCTAACTAATAAAGTTTTACTTTTGTCAGCATGTTATTTTTGTCTTACGACAGGTGATAGAGCTATACCTAGTTACCCATTGTCTCCTGGTTCTTTGCCTGCCTCCTAGTTTTGACGCAGGAGTTTACCTGGCTGACAAACTGGTGTAGGTTTTGTCTCTCACTTACGAAGTTCTTCTTGAGCACATAGTTCATGCTCTCACTTTGTTGTGTGGATGCCATTTTGGCGCAGAAAATTTCTTTGAAGTAGGCTGATGTCCATCTCTCACGCTCGTTCCACATGCCCACCATCGTGGCATCATCATGGAGGTTGTACTTATCAATGCGTCTTTTCCAGGCAGCCTCAAACTCAGTTATCATGAGGGTCCAGTTGAGGATTGATGTGAATTCACCCTTAAAGTCTTCGTGCAGATTGTACATGTATGCGAGGTGTTCCCTGTACTTCTTCATAATGTGCCAGTGGCACAACTTGTGTACCATGTTCTAGAAAGCATGTGGGATCGCCAAAGCCATTGCCGGGCACTGGTCTGGTAATGAGAAAAGTGACGTGGAGTGGTTAGCAGATAGCAGTGCATATATACCAATAGAACTGACACAACATTTTTACTGTGTTATTTTCCTTTTTTTGGGGTGGGGGTGGGGGGGGGGGTGGTTGGGGGTGGTTTTGGTGGTTGTACCTGTGAGGATGCATGTAGGAGCCTTCCCTCTCATGCACCTTAAAAATGTCTTGAACAACCATCTTAATGAATCTGCATCCTCATCTCTTATCAGAGCGAAACCAAAGAATGTAGTCTGTAAGTGGTTGTTAGTACCCACAAACACCCCAAGTGGCATATGGTACTTGTTGGTCTTATATGTGGTGTCAAACGTTATGCAGTCACAGAAGTCCTGATACGCCCCTCGGCAGCTTGCGTTCGCCCAGAATATGTTCTTAACTCTGTCGGACTCATCAAGTTGCATGTCACAGAAGAATTCCCTGTTTATAGCTTTCATCTCCCTAAAGAAGTTGACAGTCTTTAGGACATCGTCCACATCATCCATCCTTGAATTCTTTGCTTTGCTGCATATTAAAAGTGAGCAGTCATTCAAAAATGCATGTTGAACTAGCATCAGGTCATGCGTTGCATAATATGTTTGTACTGACAGAGGAAAAAAGATGGAGGGGGTTTATGGGAGGAGAACAAGTTTGTACTTACAGGTTAATCAGGTCTTTCGCATTCATTTCGAGGAAGTAGCTATCGATGTCATCGCCACCCAGTATGCTCATGATTTGCGTGTGTTCAATGCCTTTGAACCGCGGGTACTTGACGTACTCCAAGATTGTTTTGTCAAAGTTTTTGTGGGAGTGCAAGAAGACAAGCATTTGGGGGGGTGAGCTGTAGCCTGTGGTTGTGTTCCCATACTATATCTTTTACGACAAGTGTTCCATCCTTTTCCCTCTTCAGCCTCATTTTAGCCCCGCAGTTAGTCCTGGCTGTCGTCTTGTTCCGCTGTCTATTTGCTTCTGACACCTTCGATTCATAGACTCCATAGCACGTGCAATAAAGGTAGACTCTGGTCTCAACCTTGGAGCCTTTCCTGACAGCAAAACCTGCATGCTTTCCATAGATGTTGTAGAAGTCCTTTGCTTCTTTGAAAGTTTCACAATGCGTCTCTAGCCTTGGCAGAACGTAAGCTTCAATGTTAGGTGGCTGCATGCAACAGTGAGCAAACAAAAACGCAATTATGAAAATGTTTGATGGGGTGGTCACAGTACCATGGTATGGACTGTTCTTGTATGTTTTTTTTGAATGTGGATACTTACATGTGTATAGCTCTGTGCTGCCTCCGGTGTTTGCTGTTCACCCTGGTGTATGGGCGCGGATGGTGTCGCCCTTGGCACATGCAGCAATGCATCTCTTGGAGGGAGCAATGTTGACAAAGCTCTCCGTCTCTCATTGTATGGCCGTCTCCCCTCAGATTCGTTGTGAGGTTGCTCCTGTCTATATGGCTCATATCTTGTACTTTGCACCCTGCTAGAGTGGCCAAAATTTCTATTTCTTTGGCCTGGTCTTCTTGTCGCAACCGCTTTTGCAGCACGGATGATTGATGTTGATGGAGCGACTGGTGGAAGCCTATGTGTCCTTGCCTTTCTTCATGCGCTAGGGAAGGAAAACATTTGTCGTTGGGGAAATTGTTGCCCTTATTGCAACCCAGTAGTGGCAAAGCTTGTATTCCCAGGTATCAGTGTTTGCTGCATAGAAGAACCTGTCCGCGCTTCTGATGATTCTGGTGTAGCTTGAAATCTGCCTGTATTGTTG